TTGCTGTTCATGGAGCGGATGGTTGGGCATGGGTCTGAAGAAGGGGAGAAGGATGAAATCTGAGAACTGCTGCGTGCACCTCCTGGGATAGCATGTGCTCTTGAATGCTTCACAGTCAACTCGTCGCTGGTTCTCTCAGTGTCAATGCTGGTGGTCAGATACCAGTTTGCCTGGTCAGTATATTCTTCGAGGATGGATGTTATGGTCCCTTTAAGGTCTTCTGTGCTCACTGTAGTTTCCCTTTTGTGAAGAACATCTACCCCCAGTCCAGCAGCTCCTGTGATCAACTCATTGAGGACCATGGCAGCCTGCTTCCGGTACACAACAGATTCGCTGTATAGCCCCATGAAATGATCCACTAGCAAGTACAGGTTCCCGTAGTAGCCAAGTACCCGGCAAACCTGCTGAATAAGCAAGAAAATCCGCTCATCAATGAAGAACCGGAAGTGTTTCTTCTGACATTTGCCCTCCCGCAAACCATGCTGCAAGGAATCGGAGGGCTCACCTAGAGAGCCTTCAGGGCCCCAACGTCTTTCTTCAACAATCTTCACATCAGCCACATCCAGCTCCAGAACTTGCATCAGGGCTTTGGAGAGACGCTGGAGGTGGGCTGCAGAGTTGAGGACAATGTTAACCTTGGGGCCCAGCAACTTCAGGGAGCCAAGTAATAAGCTCAAGGTAGAGAACTTGCCTTGATCATCCTGGGAGTTCATCAGACGTGGAAGGGCTGTGGCAAGGGAATGCAGATTCTCTGACAAAATATCAGCAAGAGCCCTGTTCTCAGCTACTGTTCTCAGCTCCGCAATGCTCCTGAGAATCTCATGACACTTGCTTTGGACCTCATTGCTTTCATCATTAACAAGCCCAACCAAGGCTTTTAACAGGTGACCAACTGATTCCACCAGTGACAGACTGCACTTCAACATAAGGTGATGGACCAGCTCCACCAATTCCATCCTGACCTTCCAGTGAGGGTGAAGAGAAGCAAATTCAACTATCTTGTGGATAAGGAGAGACAATTTGTCTGCAGTGATTTTTACCCAATCTGGTCCTCTATGTACCACAAGCTCAGATAGTCTGCTTTGTTCCACTGAAGGTTTCTCTTCGTCCTTTGTGATTGTGGCTAGTTGTTCATCTGCCATTACCAAGCTGAGTGTGTGATAAAAGAGCTTGATCGCAGAAACAGTGACCATATGACCTTGTTTGATGTCTCCAGTAATAACCCGGGACAGGGCAATAGAGATCCCAGGTAGAAAAGAAGCAAACAAATTCCCACATTGTCTTGTTTCAACCGTGTCTAAGAGTCTATGATGCTCCGGGCAGTCACACTGCAGAATTAGGACCTGTAAACACTTTAAGGCAGCCAGCTTAATTTGCTTTGCTTTTTCTTGTTCTGCCAAGGCCAAAAGCAAAGATACAGCAAATCCTAAGTGAGGAAGGGTAGAAGGCTGATACAAAGTCAGGATAATGTCACCATAAGCTGAATGCATCAGGACATGGAGTGCTTGGATTACAGTCAGTTTTAATTCCTCTGATAGTGGGGCTGGCGGCTGCAAACCAGATGGAGAAGATAGACACAGGCAGAGCTCAGAAAAAAGCTCCTGGAGGAGGTCCTGCTTCTTCACACATGTTGTTGAAAGGATGGATGTGATGCACTGCACCACACTCTGGACAAGACTCTCCCGTTTGGGCCCTGGGGTCTTCAGGGTGAACCTCAGTGGGAAAAGGACGTACTCCTGCAGTTCCTGCAGGGCAGAGTCACTGACCACCTGCAGCTGAGCCTGCAAGCGTTCCACATTTTCAGTAGTCTGCACCTTTGTTAGCTGTACACAAGCTGGGCGCAAGATCCCGAAGGCTTCTTTTGGGGTATCAAACACTGCCATTGTCCAGCGAGCCTCTTCTTATGTGCCTGTAGGTATCCTCCTGCAGGAAAGAACAAAAAGCCATACTTACTTCAGTGAAAGCAGCATTAAAACAATTGCCGTCTGTTCCTTACTGATTAGCCAGACCTACGGTGCTCAGAAAAATGTGACCATGCCTGCTGCAAAGCAAAAGGTAATTCAATTCATTTCTCTCTACGTGGTATAAAAAGCATTCAGATTATTATACAGAAGCTCTTTAGGCTTCCACTCTAGAAGTGCTTGGAGTCCTACGGATGGAAAGCAGTATATAAGAGCTTGGAGTTCTTAATTATTAGAATTAAAAGTGTATACTCCCCTCCCACCCACCCTTCCCTATAGAAATCTATAATTTAATGTGTTTACGTGAAAATGGTCTACTCTGTGTTAGTCACGTCTGACTCTAAGAAAAATAAATCATTACTGAGGGTTGGTTTTTAACCAATGAAGGTACAACACAGCCGCTATAGACCCAGGGGAAGAGGGCAGTTTCTTAGCTCATGTACAGTGAATGTTTGTTTTGTTCAACGTTTCTCTTTAGTTTCTGGCAGGATGGGTTGAGCCCTGTTTCTCTAGTGTTTGGCTCCATCTCAACCAGATTTACAGTAGTGTTTAACTTTGGTTTTTAAAAACACTTTAAGCATGAGTTTCAGAGGAACAGCCGTGTTAGTCTGTATTCGCAAAAAGAAAAGGAGTACTTGTGGCACCTTAGAGACTAACCAGTGTAACCAAATACGATTTTAATTATGAGGACAGATTTTTAAAGGTACCTAGACATTTCCAGATGCATACAGGGGCCTAGTGGGATTTTCAAAAGCATCAACGGGACCTAGGCCCTTCTAAAAATCCTATTGGGTATTTATCTGCATCTGGAGGTGCCCAAGTATCTTTAAAAATCCGGTCTTTGGTCAGGGGCCATGGGGGCAAACTCTTTAAAACAAAAGCCATATTCTAGCATAGGTAGGGTTATGGCAGAGCATATGCTTGTAGGCCCCAGCTTGAGTCTGCTGAGCTAAAGTGCAGAACCAAGGTGGGTTGATATACTGGACGTGCATGTGATAGGGTAGTGGTAGGTCTCGGCTGATTGATTAGACACCAGAGCACACTAATGAGCATTAGTATGTAGGTTATTCCACACTGGAACCCATACAGGTATCATCAAACAGTTACAACCCATACGTCATGGGGACCACAGCCTGAAAGAAATCTGAACCTTCTCTTCTAGCCTTCAAACTACCCCCAACCTCTCCAAGCTCATCAACAGAAGCAAGCTCCCCCGTGACCAGGGCCCAGCATCTCAAACCAGAACTAGACCTTGCCAAAACAACTGATGCAAAACCTGTACACATATCTCCACGGCTCTGATGATCAATACCCCCCATGCCCACCCTTTCAAGATTCACGGTTCTTACACAGGCCTGTCACAATATGTGGTGTACCTCGTACAGTGTACTAAATGCCCCAACAACAACGATGTGGGTGAAACCAGACAATCACTATGCGTTCGAATGAAGTCACGCAGGAAAATGGTAAAAGACACCATCACCCCCTCTTTTGTAAAGCAATCACTCTGTATATGACCTCTTACTCCCCATCCCCAAAGGAAACCTGCACAACGCCTTCAAAAGATGAGCCTGGGAGCTTAAATTTACAAGTTTGATAGACTCTAAAAATCATGGGCTGAATAGAGACACTGGATTTATGGCTTATTACATCATTTTATAACCCACTAACCCCTCTCCAGCTTCCCCCCTATGACTGAAGGGGTGTCAACCAGCCAGTTCACCTTGAAGGAGCCCTTAAACTATGTGCGAACTACTTATGCTAAACAATCTGTTCCACCTTGTATTTAGCTGTGACACCCTGTGTACCTTCCCCCAGACCTGAAGAAGAGCTCCGCATAAGCTTAACAGCTGGTCTCTTTCACCAACAGAAGTTGGTGCAATATATTACTGCACCTACCTTGTCTCCCTAATGAGAAGTTGACAGGTAAACCTCTGACCCTGACCACTCCAAAAAGCCTGAGTGGGTGGGATCACTCAGTGGCACTGAGGATGCTCCTGAGGAACCCATTAAATTCACAGGTGCATGGTCCAGGAGGTGAAAGCCATGCCTCAGGCTGTCTCTGCACAACTGGCCTGACCTGGTAACTATGGCCATGGGCTGAATCTCTCAGCTTACACCATCTATCTGTAAGCTTGGAGGAGAGGTGGGGGGCACCCCGCCAGGCGGGTCCAGGATGCCGAGCAGGATAATAAACAACAAGACTCCCCCCACTCCCTCTGCCGTCCCCCCTACCCCTGTGGCACTTGCAGCAGCCCTGAAGCCTCTGCCTCACCCCGCAATTCAAGAGCCCCAGCCCTGTCCTGCCTTGAGGGAGCCCCGTCCTCCCCCCCCCCACGTGAATCCCTGCCCCGAGCCCCTGCCCAGAGCTGGGGGGGGGGAGAGCCCCTGCCATCCCCCCCCCTCCCCGTGAATCCCTGCCCCCTGCGCAGAGCTGGGGGGGAGGAGCCCCTGTCCCCTTCCCCATGTGAGTCCCTGCCCCCTGCACAGAGCTGGGGGGGCCCAGAGCCCCTGTCCCCCCCGTGAATCCCTGCCCCCTGCATAGAGCTGGGGGGGGAGGAGCCCCTGCCCCCTGCATAGAGCTGGGGGGGCCCTGTTCCCCCCCCGTGAATCCCTGCCCCCTCCACAGAGCGGGGGGGGGCCCAGAGCCCCTACCCCCCCCCCACGTGAGCCCCTGCCCCAGCTCGGAGGCAGGGCCGTAGGGGACCCCCCAGGACCCCGCCTCCTACCTGCTCCAGTCACGCTCCCGCCACGGGGTGCGCGGCACATGCCGGAAGGAACGCGGACAACCCCCGACCACCTAACTCGGGAGTAAAGCGAAAAAACTCCCCAGCCGCTCTAGGCAGGAAGGGGAAACAAGAAAAGTCTCAGGTGAGCGCACTGCGCATGCGGAGCTGGCCCGTGCCGGGGTTTTGAAATCGGGCTCAGTTAGGCATACAGCGCATGCGTCCTCGGCTGGCGCCGGGCGAAGGCTAGAGACGCCTCAGCCGGAGTCGCTGCGCATGCGCCGCTTTCCCGCGCCTGCCTCGGGCCCCCTGTGATGTGCGAGCTATAACTGGACACACGGGTGGGCTCTCTTCCCCGCCGGCGACCCGTAGCATGGGGCCCTTTGACCCGCCGCGGCGGGGTGAGAGGTCAGGTGGCCATCTTGTGGCAGCGGTGGCGGTTTGTTGTTGGTGAGGCCCCGCCGCGCCCCCTCCCCGCGGGCTGAGCAGGCCCCGGGGCCGGGCCGGGCCGCGCCGGGCGGCGCCATGTCCTCCTTCTCGGAGTCGGCGCTGGAGAAGAAGCTCTCGGAGCTGAGCAACTCTCAGCAGAGCGTCCAGACCCTGTCGCTGTGGCTCATCCACCACCGCAAGCACGCGGGGCCCATCGTCTCCGTGTGGCACCGGGAGCTCCGCAAAGGTAGCGGGGGAGGGGGGGGCGCCCGCCCCCATTGACCAGCGCCCGCCCCGCCGCTGGAAATCAACCGGGACCGGAGCTCCGGACCCGTGGCTCCCCAGGCCGGCCCGAGTCGGTCCCTTGCGCCCTGCACGCTCGGGCGCTGTCCTGCGCCGGAGCCGCCCGGCTCCTCCCGCCCCATCGCGCTCGCAGGTGGCGGGGCTGGGGCGCTCCCCTCCTCCCTGGGCTGGGCCCTCGTCTCTCAGCCCTGCTGCCGGCTCCCTTGTTTCCTTTCCAGCGCGCTTCCCGCCTGAAAGGGGCCTTAGAAAACCCCGTTTACTAGATGGGGGCAAGCCCCTGGTGTGGCTGTAGCCTTAATGCGGACTCAGAGACATGTGGGTCTGTAGGACGTCCTGTGCTGAGGCGGGATGAGCTATACCTAGGCTTTAAAAGCGCGTGTGTGTATCGTTGATGTGAACGGACGCTTTAAGAGCGGTGTAACTGCATCCATACTAGAGGGCTGCACTGACTTAGTTAATCTTGGGCAAAAACTTTCTGTGGACCAGCCCTGAGAGTCAGCTGTGGTAGAGTAAAACCTGCCAAGAGCCACCACTCATGGGAGTCAGCAAAAGTGGTCACTTGTAAAAGGTGGTCTGTCTCTCTCATGACCTCTGCAGGTAGTCGCTCGTGACAGGTGGCTTCTCTTCAGAGATGGTCTCTGAGGCAGGACTTACTGTATTTCCATTTTGAGTATCCGGCTCAGTTACGCCTGTGTGGTCCTGTTGTCTTAAAATGGGACCCATAGCGATACCTGTGGAACCCCATTGCCTTCAGTGTGTTGGGTAGGAATAGTTTTTTTCTAGGTTTTAGTGAGCTTGTGACTGTTTAGTTTGTGCTCTTAGATCCTTTTATTTACTCTCTTAAATATCCCATTGTTATTTGCAAAAGGCATTTCAATTAAATTTGAATGGAATGCCAAATGGAAAAGGGATTACTGAGAAATGACTGGAAAAAATTGAATTGTTTAATTGTAAACTATGTTCCTGGAGTATACTATATTACATCGCGCGTGTGTGTATAGATATAGATGCATACTATTAATACAGGTTCCTTGATGTGTGGAACCCAGGAATGTTGTTAAGAAATAACTGGTTTATTTGCTGGGGGGGGGATTGTAATAGTTGGCTCTCTTAATCTGTTAAAGTCCTCAGCATTTTGCAGAATCAGAGACCCAGATCTTAACATTTATGAATACGTTTTCTTTAAAATCATAGACTACTTTGACAGTTATTTCTATCAGCTGTTTTGTCTTGGAAGTCATAATATTTTTCCAATATACTTTGGGGACTGCTACATGATAGAAGTAGGTTGTGGCCTTACACGGACATTTTTGGGGCTTTCTTTTTCTGGGAATACATCCAGTATCTGCCTTTCTAATATCTACACAGCATTTTGCAGTGAGCCTCCCTGCCTGGATCTACTGACTTGGGCTGGTGGGGCTTGTGCAAATTCTCTAAAAATTACTTTGAAGTTGCATCTGGGGCTGAAGCTCAGGTTCTGAAGCCCATTCTACTCCCTAGGCTTCAGACTCAGAGCTCCAGCCCCAGATGCAACTTCAAAGTGCTGCCTATACAGCAATTGTTAGAGCACTAGTACAAACCCTGCTAGCCAGTTTGTCATCCCGATCTGGGAGGCTTGATTCTGCCTGCTCCCAAATGCTGTGTAGACATATCCCATATACTTTATAGTTTCCTCAAAGGGAGCTAGAGTGAAGTTAACTAGACTCCTTTTCACTCTTGGGGTTCACAAGCCTGTGAATAGGTGTGAAACTGACCAGAGTTTTGTTAATTTCATTTTGCTGCTTGTCCTAGATATGGTAGTGGTTTTTTTTTTTTTTTTGGCCGATTGAGGTAGGTGGGGCTGTATGGAGTCACATTTGGAAGTTTTTAAAAACAAAAGCTTAGAAACTGCAGAAATTGATAGTCTGGCTGCATGCCCTTTACTTGGCAAGATTTTGTTAGTCCTGCACTTATATAAGATATTAGGTGTCGCCATATATGGTAATAGAAAAAACTATGTATTTGAAAGAGCTGAGGTAGGCTTGCTGTGGGAACCGTAGCTGAATTTCCTGACTCTTGTGTCTGTAAATTCTCAGTTGTCATGTTGTATAATATAGCTTTTGCATGTGTTTTAGGCTCTAGAACAGAGAGACTATAGAATCTAGAGAGTTTGTCTCCTGTAGATTCTGCTCTTCAGAGTGTAGGGTCTATTGGCATTTACTAATGGTGGGTGATGAATGGAAATAGCTAACTTTTGTGGGATTGAGAAGAAACGCACAGCTAATAGCTATTTCCACATAGCATGGATTAGAAAAATTGATTCTGAAAAATAAAAGGTCCTAGGTTCAAGCTCTTCCATCCAGGGATGTTCAGTATTTAAACAGCTTAAGTATAAGGCTAAAATAACACTGTTTCAATATATTTGATTAATGAAAAATAAGTCTGTTATCACACTGATTTGGTGTTAAGTTGTAACAGTTCTTTTCATTTTAACCTGCACTTGTGGTGAGGTTTAATGTTTATGCAACACTGAGATCATCCGATGAAAGATGCACAGTAATATTAGGATTATTTCCCTTCTTGTTTTATAAATTAATTACAAACCAAAGAGGATCAAGAACTGCTTGACTTGAAAGCTTCTAGCTGCTTTTGCTACTTTTGGTAAAATTGAAATGCAGGAAACTCAGCCATATTTTAAGCTGAGAAACTGTGACCACTTTTGGAGTGTATAACAAGTAGCCTCAGAATAAAACATGAAATGAGAAATCAAGAATGCAAGTTAAGTTTTCTTCTCTTCTTTCCCAGCAAAATCAAGTAGGAAGCTTACATTTCTATATTTGGCGAACGATGTCATCCAGAACAGTAAAAGGAAGGGTCCTGAATTCACAAGGGAGTTTGAATCTGTTCTTGTGGATGCTTTTTCTCATGTTGCCAGGTAAGTTTGCACATTAATCCATTCCGCTTTCCTTCACCAATTTTTCTCTCCACAGCTTTTGTGTTAAATATTCCACAAGTCTAAATTCAAGTGCTTTTCAGTTCTAGGAATATGTATGTTCAGGAAGGTTAACTTGTCTTTACTAGAAGCTGAACTCAACTCCTTTCCTTTAAGAAATTGTCAGTTATGCCTTGCTCTTGAGAAACAGAAGTAAAGTTGCGGGAGGCTGGTTCTAGCTTTGGTTCTGTGCGGTGACAATTGGTTTGTGGGTTTTTGTGCGTAACTCCTATGCAGGTTAAATACTTTACACTTATCCATAAATCTCAAAGCTCTGTACGAAGTTGGAAATTATCTCTGGTCTAAAGATTTGTCCAAAGTCACATAATTTCTCACTAGGAGAGTGTCACATAATGAGTGACTCTTCCCCTTAGTGGGAGAGTTTGAAACCTGACTACTAGCTATCTGGTCAGTCCACTAGACCAGTTTTTCCTATAATGAGCTTTGAAATTACACAATTTCAAAGTGCTTTATTAATATGAACACACACACCATTCCTGCTTTTGTTTTCTGCAGCTGTGCTGCTAATCAGCTGCTATATTTGGTTTTTCTAAAAGATGTGCAGTTTGAAAATTATCTTCATATTTAAGCTAATAAATCTTTCTTGATCTCACTTAATTACCTGAAAAGTTATAGATAGGTCTGAAACATGTTACTAGCTAGAATATTCTCAATAGAAAACTTAATTTAAACTTCCTTCTTCTATACCATCTCTTCAGTGGGCTTAGGGTACAGTTCTTGTATGTCTTGCCTTTGTGTAGACATTTTAATATGTTACTAGGTGAGATCTGATTATAGAGTTAAATTATGTCTCAGAATCTATATATCCGGTAGTTCCAAATTGTGTGAGCTTTACTGGCTCCTATCAACTGTTATCAAATGATTGGCCTCCTCATTGGGCAGAAAGGGTGACTTGTATAATCCAGAGGAGGAGACAGGAGGTGCAAAGGGGAGCAGCTGCATATTATTCCTGTCATAGGATGGTCTATAGCTAGTTAAGGATTGTTTTACTATTTAAAGACAAGCTTAGTCTCTGAACCAAACAGTTATAATGCACAGGGGAATTAAAGAGCATCTAATGACAGTGCGTTCTGGATAACTACATAACGTTTGGCGCTGTTTCTTATTTTATTCCTTACAAGTCTTGCTCATTTGGTCGATGTTTAATAAGTAAATTCTCATTTGAATGCCTAATGACCCAAACAATTTCCTTTTTAATTAGGATGTCATTGACTGAAACAATCATTAGAAGTGAACATTTTAAACTATAAACCTGGTAACTTTGTAGGATTTTCGTAGTTCTTTCTATAACAGCAGAAAGATACAATTTTTTTTCCCTCCCTGCAAAAGTTCTTATGTCCTGTTGGTATCCAGGAAGTGGGCGGGCAGAAAAGACTGGGGGTACTTCTACACACTGTGGGTTCCAGCTTAAGGGAAAAATGTTACTTAAATATTTTGCACACTGTACTCCAGACAGTACAAGAAAGCCTGTCCCCAAGTTTGCATCTTCATTTGATGGTTGCAGCTTCTAATTTGTACAGCGTTTTTTAAAAAGCATACTCATGTTTAACCAAAGTTTTAACTATTTTTTAATATTTGAACAGAGAGGCAGATGAGGGCTGCAAAAAGCCCTTGGAGCGATTGCTTAACATCTGGCAAGAAAGGAGCGTGTATGGCAGCGAGTTCATACAACAGCTGAAACTTTCTATGGAGGACACCAGTAGCCCTCCACCAAAAGGTAAAAGCATAGCTTAAAAAAAAAAAAAGCAGTAACACATACCCCACTGAAAAGTTAATGTGTCACTAACTGACATTAGAACTATGGTGGTAAACAGGCCAGTTCCTGGCATCATGCGCATAGAAGGTTAGGAGAATTGCTGTCAGAGCTGACACTGGAGTCACTATGGGTAAGTCCACTGCATTTTAAAACACAGGAGTCTTAAGACTTGGACTGACACTCTGATGCTAAAACAGCTGTGTAGATGTCTGAGCTTGACCTCTGAAGCTCACCCCTCTCCATAGGCTTTCAAGCCAGAGTGTGTAGAGCCATGCTCTGAGATTTGCTCCTCTGGGTTTCTGCTGGCCATTTAGGCATACCCCTAGACTAAATGTCTTGAAGAGATTTTGCATTTGTAGAGATGACAGATCTGGTTTGTTAGCCTGAGACCTCGTGGGCCTGCACCACATCATTTGACTCCACACATGCAAGTGGATACACTCTGGATCTATCCTGATAGACATGAGTGTAGATTTTGGGGATATAGGGAACAATATTCCTATGGTGACCATGGTTACTATCTCCAGGATGAGATTAGGACTCTTCCGCTCTCCTGTAGAAATAGGCAACTGCACTGATGGTCTAACCAAGGAGACAATGTAACTTGTTCGTTTCCAGAGCACTCTGACAGTTAAAATTGTTCTGCCTCCAGACACGAGTCTGGATGGGGGTTAGGTGGGTCATTACAATGGTCTGTTCTCCACACTTTGGCCCTCAGATGCCCTTCCTCATTCTGCATCATCCTTACAGATCACTGTGATTTAACAAAAAGCAAAGGAGTACTTGTGGCACCTTAGAGACTAACAAATTTATTTGAGCATAAGCTTTCGTGAGCTACAGCTCACTTCATCGGATGCATTCAGTGGAAAATACAGTGGGGAGATTTATATACATAGAGAACATGAAACAATGGGTGTTACCATACACACTGTAATGAGAGTGATCACTTAAGGTGAACTATTACCAGCAGGAGAGCTGGGGGGAGGGAACCTTTTGTAGTGATAATCAAGGTGGGCCATTTCCAGCAGTTGACAAGAACTTCTGAGGAACAGTGGGGGGTGGGGAATAAATATGGGGAAATAGTTTTACTTTGTGTAATGACCCATCCACTCCCAGTCTCTATTCAAGCCTAAGTTAATTGTATCCAGTTTGCAAATTAATTCCAATTCAGCAGTCTCTCGTTGGAGTCTGTTTTTGAAGTTTTTTTTGTTGAAGAATTGCCACTTTTAGGTCTCTAATCAAGTGACCAACAGTGACTTTTTGGCACATGGAAGTGGAAGGCTAGAAAATGACGTTGCAGTTGGTTTGGCTGGTTTCTTTTTAACTCGAGTTGGTAGCAACTGAAACTGGCATTTGTGTGATGGATTTTCAGTGGCTTCCTGACATAAATTGATTTCAGTCCAATTCCTGGTGGGCATCTATATCACAAAAGCAACCATTATAGCTGTTAGTCGGGTCAAAGATTGAGTGGATCATAAAGTAAAACACTGAGCCTTCTTGCTTATTTTCCTCGTGGCTTTTCAAACACAAGTATGATAGCAGTAACTGACTTTAGTAACTTCTGAATTTGCAAACTACCATGGAAACAGTAGGTTGGAAATCTAGTATAAATATCTTTAGATTGGCAAAAGGTGGTTCTGTTAAAACAAAATTCTTGGCACTCCTGAGGATATTTGGGACTCTGATAATGAATATAATTTTTTTTTTTTTAGTCTAAGGCTGTGTGGTAACTCAAAGCAGAAAATTCTGCGGGGTTATGCCTGTGTACACCTTTGTGCAAAGCCACAGTGATTGATAAGATATGGTTGAATAGACGCGATTTGTTGAACAGGATGGCTCTGAATAAATTCCAACACATTCAGTATGCTTAGGAGCCTGCGATTCTTGCCCAAATGTGGTGACACCATAAAAGACTGAGTAGGGAAAGTATCAAAGCTTAGCACTTACCCTGCGAAGCAGTGACTCTGAGAAAGATTTGGTGGTCATGGTGGATAATCGGGTGAACATGAGCTCCCAATGTGATGCTGTGGCTACAAGGGCTAATGCAATCCTTGGAGGCATAAACGGGAAGTTCGAGTAGAAGTAGAGAGGTTATATCACCTCTGTATTTGTCCCTGGTGCCACCATGGCTGTAATATGGTGTCCGCAATTTAACTTGGAAAGAGCTCAGAGAAGAGCCATGAGAATGATTAAAGGATTAGAAAACCTGCCTTATGATGTTAACTTCAGGGATCAATCTACTTAGTTTGATAAAGGGACGGTTAAGGGGTGACTTGATCATGGTCTGTAATGTCTACATAGGGAACAAATATTTAATGGGCTTTTCAGTCTCGCAGAAAAAGGTATAACGCAATCTAATGCTGAAAGTAGTTGACTCTCGCCAAATTCAGACTGGAAACAAGGCGTACATTTTTAACAGTGAGGGTAATTAACCATTAGAACAGTTTACTAAATGCTGTGGTTCATAGAATCATAGAATATCAGGGTTGGAAGGGACCTCAGGAGGTCATCTAGTCCAACCCCCTGCTCAAAGCAGGACCGATCCCTGACTAAATCATCCCAGCCAGGGCTTTGTCAAGCCTGACCTTAAAAACTTCTAGGGAAGGAGATTCCACCACCTCCCTAGGTAACGCATTCCAGTGTTTCACCACCCTCAGAGAGAGAGAGTTTTTCCTAATATCCAACCTAAATCTCCCCCACTGCAACTTGAGACCATTACTCCTCGTTCTGTCATCTGCTACCACTGAGAACAGTCTAGAGCCATCCTCTTTGGAACCCCCTTTCAGGTAGTTGAAAGCAACTATCAAATCCCCCCCTCATTCTTCTCTTCCGTAGACTAAACATCCCCAGTTCCCTCAGCCTCTCCTCATAAGTCCATGTGTTCCAGTCCCCTAATCATTTTTGTTGCCCTCCGCTGGACTCTTTCCAATTTTTCCACTACAAGGATGTGTGGGGCCCAAAACTGGACACAGTACTCCAGATGAGGCCTCACCAATGTCGAATAGAGGGGAACAATCACGTCCCTTGATCTGCTGGCAATGCCCCTACTTATACATCCCAAAATGCCATTGGCCTTCTTGGCAACAAGGGCACACTGTTGACTCATATCCAACTTCTCGTCCACTGTAACCCCTAGGTCCTTCTCTGCAGAACTGCTGCCGAGCCATTCGGTCCCTAGTTTGTAGCGGTGCATGGGATTCTTCCATCCTAAGTGCAGGACTCTGCACTTGTCCTTGTTGAACCTCATCAGATTTCTTTTGGCCCAATCCTCCAATTTGTCTAGGTCCCTCTGTATCCTATCCCTACCCTCCAGCGTATCTACCACTCCTCCCAGTTTAGTGGCATCTGCAAAGTTGCTGAGGGTGCAATCCACACCATTCTCCATATTATTTTGAAGATATTGAACAAAACCGGCCCCAGGACTCACCCCTGGGGCACTCCACTTGATACCGGCTGCCAACTAGACATGGAGCCATTGATCACTACCCTTTGAGCCCGACAATCTGGCCAGCTTTCTCTCCACCTTATAGTCCATTCATCCAGCCCATACATCTTTAACTTGCTGGCAAGAATACTGTGGGTGGGAGACCGTGTCAAAAGCTTTGCTAAAGTCAAGGAACAACACGTCCACCACTTTCTCTTCATCCACAGAGCCAGTTATCTTGTCATAGAAGGCAATTAGATTGGTGAGGCATGACTTGCCCTTCGTGAATCCATGCTGACTGTTCCTGATCACTTTCCTCTCCTCTAAGTGCTTCAGAATTGATTCCTTGAGGGCCTGCTCCCTGAATTTTCCAGTGACTGAGGTGAGGCTGACTGGCCTGTAGTTCCCAGGATCCTCCTTCCCTTTTTTGAAGATGGGCACTACATTAGCCTTTTTTCAGTCATCTGGGACCTCCCCCGATTGCCATGAGGTTTCAAAGATAATGGCCAATGGCTCTGCAATCACATCTGCCGACTCCTTTAGCACTCTCGGATGCAACGCATCCAGCCCCATGGACTTGTGCTCGTCCAGCTTTGCTAAATAGTCCCGAAACGCTTCTTTCTCCTCAGAGGGCTGGTCACCTTCTCCCCATGAGGTGCTGCCCAGTGCAGCAGTCTGGAGCTGACCTTGTTCGTGAAGACAGAGGCAAAGAAAGCATTGAGTACATCAGCTTTTTCCACATCCTCTGTCACTCGTTTGCCTCCCTCATTCAGTAAGGGGCCCACACTTTCCTTGACTTTCTTCTTGTTGCTAACATACCTGAAGAAACCCTTCTTGTTACTCCTAACATCTCTTGCTAGCTGCAACTCCAGGTGTGATTTGGCCTTCCTGATTTCACTCCTGCAAGCCCGAGCAATATTTTTATACTCCTCCCTGGTCATTTGTCCAATCTTCCACTTCTTGTAAGCTTCTTTTTTGTATTTAAGAGCAGCAGGGATTTCACTGTTAAGCCAAGCTGGTCGCCTGCCATATTTACTATTCTTTCTACACATCGGGATGGTTTGTCCCTGTAATCTCAATAAGGATTCTTTAAAATACAGCCAGCTCTCCTGGACTCCTTTCCCCCTCATGTTATTCTCCCAGGGGATCTTGCCCTTCAGTTCTCTGAGGGAGTCAAAGTCTGCTTTTCTGAAGTCCAGGGTCTGTGTTCTGCTGCTCTCCTTTCTTCTTTATGTTATGTTAGGATCCTGAACTCAACAATTTCATGGTTACTGCCTCCCAGGTTCCCATCCACTTTTGCTTCCCCTACTAATTCTTCCCGGTTTGTGAGCAGCAGGTCAAGAAGAGCTCTGCGCCTAGTTGGTTCCTCCAGTACTTGCACCAGGAAATTGTCCCCTACATTTTCCAAAATCTTCCTGGATTGCCTGTGCACTGCTGTATTGCTCTCCCAGCAGATATCAGGGTGATTGAAGTCTCCCATGAGAACCAGAGCCTGCGATCTAGTAACTTCTGCGAGTTGCCGGAAGAAAGCCTCGTC